TGGAATTCACACTTCTGCAGAAGACAACCATTTCCCCTGCTCAAGAGTACAGACAACTAGCTTCGAAATTACACTTTCTTTACTCTTACTCACAACACGCACGTTAATGGACTTATCAATGCCAGGTGTTGACACTGCCTCATCAACCGATTCTTTGAGAACACACAGCAGGGACGTAGAGGTCAGAACACCTCTAATGCAGCCAGTCAGTCACCTCCTCCCAGAAAACGTCCGAATCAACCATCGAATTGTGAAGTGTTCAAGGTTTCCTATCAGTATTACGTTGATGCTGTATCACCGTAGCCCTAACTAACTACAGTTAACTCGAAAAGAGAAGATGGATTCAAAAGGAAATACAATTTATATGAAAATAACAAAATCTGTTTATAAGTAAAACATGCCATCAACTTGACTGCTGTGAACTTTGAAACGACCAGCATCTAACAGAATCTCTGGTTTCTCTATGTCCGATAACCACTCACGTGCCCGAAATGCAGCCAAATGAGAATAATAAGTCGGCGCTGGATACGAGACACTACGGGAACACCTCATGTACCCGTAGCATAAGTGGTAGGTGAACATCTGCAGAGCATTCGATGTCCAGTTACTATCATCATACAAAACGTGATAGTGAGCAGGTTTCGATGTACCCTAAAAGTAATGGTATTAACACAAGGAAACAATTTACCTGAATCCCTTCCTGAGAGCAGAGGTAGAAATCGAATTCCCTGGGATGTGTGATATCTGTATCAATCACCGTTCCTGGCTCCACGTTTCTTGCCCTAGCAAAGCATTCAAACAGACCGTTAAGACACGAATAAGGTGTAGTAGGTACACAGAAAACATCATGAGCGAATACCTTACCTGGGGTCAGATGGTCGAAATCGAATATGGTGACGCTTTTGCACAACAATATAAGTGATAGCAGGCTCTTCACCAGGACGAATATCTGCGCAGGCTCTTTGAATCGCAGCCAACTCCTCCACCAACACATTTTCGAACTGGCCCTCCGAAACTCCATCACGATAGAATATCATGCGCGTTGGAAAACGCCCGTTCGTGTTTCGCAGGTAAAGCTACAACAAAACACAAATAATAATAAGGAAGAACGAAAGCGTACAACGGGAAGAAGGGGAACGTAAGTCAGTAGAGTCGGTCATTGATGAAAACTAACCTGGAGTAGCTCACTGACAATCAGACGCATATTGTCAATTATTTCTCTAGACGACTTATTGCCTTTTTCTGTGGTTGCCTGTTGACGGATAACTACCCCGTATCTCATCAGATCGGGTGAAATGCTACCAATAACAGCAGCTACTGACTTCCGAATTTCATGAGTTTGTGTAGGCGCCGGATGAGTGACGTCGGCTCCGAAAACCATAACCAACTCCTGACTGTCCTTAATCAAATCAGGAATTTGCCAGTTCACACCTCCGAGTTTCCCATTCAGTTTGAGCAACAGGTTAGCTGAAAGCAGAAAACCGAATTAAGCTCATCGAAATACAGAAACACACTGAAAGCTACATGTGAACAACAGTAATCACTCACGGAAAACGTTCGGTTTGTCCAGAGTACGACTTCGTACACATTGGGTCCGAATGCCCATTTGTAGGTCACTCAGACGTTTAATGGATGAGTAGGACTGTTCATCATACAGGATGAGAAGTAAGAAGCAACATCCTTGTCTGGAAAACTCCTCGAACCTCCTGTTAAGTTCTCCTCTCGGACACTGTGCCACAATCGGTCGAGGGCTAAACCGAACACCAAAGCGACTGGCCGCTCTAGGCAATTCCGATATCACCTTCTGTACATGACCATGAGACCGCTAGGAAGAAAACATGGCAAGAGGAGGAAACAGTCAGTTCTCGCCTTCACATTTGACAATAACAATAATATGAGGTTCTTCCAAATGTATTGCGCAAATACACACTTTTCAGACAATATTCGTCTTCTAAAAACACTATCCAAATTTATAAAGGAGACTAACGGTTTTCAACAATAACATATGCCTTTCGACAACAAACCAGAATTAAGTGCACATTTCTCAGACTACTCTACTTATCTGACAACATTTCATCAATTTATTAAAAGGCAGACAAAACCTCAGCTTCGTATACAGAGCATTAAACACTGACAAATAAAAGATGATGATATTGCCACCGACGTAATGCAGTGAACAATGAAATAGGTGGACTGTCATGAAACTAGGCGAGGGACCCTTCGATGTTGATACAATCGACAAATGACCAAGTCAATTTAATGCCCAAGTGATTGCACAACTCATCCTCGTTACAGCACTAATCTTATGCTGGACCGGAGTAGAAAACATACCTGATTAGGCGGAACGCTAAGTATAGCCCACATTAATTCTACTCCTTCGCCGGCAGGGCGAAGAAAGCCAGGTGTGATCCAACTACCTGGCGTCAGTTGTCGCACACCGGAACGACCAAAACCAGCAGTTGGAGCTTGGATAACACGTGCGTTAACTTCCACTGGCCTCGGTTGAATCGCTAAACCAAATTGTTTAATCAGTGGGTGGGACCTGGGAGGAAATGGAACAAATAGCATGTAAAGAAAACCTCATAACTACAAAACAATGAATTGAGTAAATCATAAAATCTGGCTCCAGACTAACTTCGTTTACACACTTTCCTGCATAATTGGCTCCAGACTTGCATTCAAGCATACTTACTCTACAATTAAGTCCTCTTCACTGTCACACGGTCAACAAACACTACTCTAATTTTGTCGTGCTCGACTCGTTGCAGGTCTGCGCAACTATATAACTCGTGACCCACTATTACCAACTAGACACCGCCACATTCTGCGTCCTTATCAAATCTATGTGTAAAACAGTGTATGTCGTATCTGCTTGCATGCCTGGAAAACAAACAATAAGCTTTGTAGGTAGGCGTTACGTCAAGCATCTCCGGCACTTATCCAGGACTGCGGTATTTACTTCACGTTTATTCAAATTTTAAAACTACGGCTGACACAACGGACATCAGATTTGTCAACAAAACGTTCGCAGAACGCTCATCTAATAATATCAGTGAAAAGTTTACGCATTGTGCAATAGGTCAATTAAGTGTAATTGTATTTCAAATCCAATAAGCTGGTGGCAATTTTGCTCGAAATCAAAAGCTTACCACTGTGCATGAACAACCATTGAAATACAATTATAACTAATCATTCGTCTAATAGTATGCTTCCGTTCTCACCTTCAACTTGTCTCTATGCAGGAATATAATGAAGACTAGAATTTCTAGTCATGGGAAAACTGAGTTGGCTTGTAGTTGGAAGGGTCTACAGATCCATAGCTTATCGACTACAACTTGAAGTAGCACTATCTTGAGCACTTCACCATCCATTCTGGAGGACTCTACCACTGACATCACCAATGATTCTATAGAAGCTAAGAGTGATATTTCGGAAATCCCCAAAAGGTATCCAAGGTTTGCATTGTAACTTACTACCTATTCTACTTTCTCACCATCCTTTTAATGCGCTACAACAGTGAGTGTCGAGCTATAAGCTTCATGGAATGCCGAAAAAATCAATCATCGAAAGCTCGTCGATCTCAACATGCTTCCCCTCAACTCTTGCATCAATAAGCAACATTACACTTTAGTACTGACCAGCAGTATCAACTCATAAATAAAATACTCTTACTGCAGCATATTATTGGCAAAATTTTCCAGCTCTCTGAACCGCTCCTGTGGTCGAATTGCTGCACAACGGATAACTTCACTCGCAACATCGGCTTTACTCGCATTAGGAGCTTGATATGGCAAAATGTTTAACAGTTCCATCGGCATATACACTTCACGCTTTTGATCAACCTACAAAAATAATCACTGAAATGGAAATTTACCTTCACACATGGCAGCTCTGGATACTTCAGAGTGATATGATGGTGCTCCTTGAAATATGCAGCCACGGACTGATTCAACCCCTCAATCATCAAACGATCAGCTGGTAGTGATGATATCCCGTGCACGGTGAAGCGTCGGGAATATGCACGTCCTAAAATGTATGAGGTATAACAGAAAACATGCATACCATCATCGCTCCTGTAGAATTTATCAGTCTCAACTCGTATCTTTCTCAAGTCGTACGCCATTTGAGTGCTACATCTGGCCATATCGTCTCCATACTTCGAGTACATGACGTCCGCTAGATTCCCAGATACAAAGTAGGCTTTGCACGTCTGTGATTATGTAAAAAGAACGTGTATCACTACTTACCATGTCCAAGTTCACACGAATCTTCCACTGGGGTCTCACAGTACTTATAAAACCTTTATGAATAGTGAGAAGCTTATCCACAACCACTTTAGTTGGTGTCCCCTGAAATAGGGCTGCGCGTCCAACGGATACAAACGACTGCTTTGACACTGTTTTCAAGATGCAATCTAATAATCTGATACATTCCTAGAGACAAATCTGAAACATATCCAGACTTACTTGAGGCATATTCATTGAGCTCGCTTTCGGACTCGTTATGAAATGACTGATGTCGGAAGTAGACACCTTCTGCACTTCCATAATCCGGTACTTGAGAAGAAGGCGGTCCCGACCAAACGGCTCTTTGATCTCAATCTCTCTTTCTACGGGGTCCGTTGTGACACCAGGTAACGGATCTTCAGAGTATATGGCATGACCGCCATCATATATAATCGTATCTGGTAAACTGCAGAAGAGAGTGAAATAAGCACAATTGTTTAGCATGAGGTCTATGAATAGATACCATTGCCATCAATACAAGCCATAACCAACAACTTCAACAATTCTCCTTAAACAACACTGATGGTAACCAAAGTCTCGTAATGAATGGTGTGGGACATGGAACAAGTTATCCCATACGTGTACGAACCTTCGGTTGACAAGCAAGCAATACTTGACCGAAAGTCAGGAACAATTCAGCTTAATAATTAAGGGACAGAAAGTTCCGTTACATATGTAAACAATCCATTTGATCAATAACACAATGGTACTTACGAGTCAGCTACCTGCTGAATTAAAGATCTCAACTCTTTAGGTGGCATTCTTATCTCAGTTTTACTGCCCTCCTTAGCTTCCAATCGGTGAACTGAGTTTGCTTCCACAAAATAAAGATATACCGTTTTGTGGTGAAAAGAAAAATCCCAACAGTTTGAAGTGACTTTGACTTTCTTTCCAATTGTACCTCCTTGGTCTGGTCTATTCGGCATTCTGAGTGTCTTCTGTATGTTTAGTCTGAAAAATAGTCAATTCGGGAGCGTTACCGAAAAAAGCAATGAAGACAAATACTGTTAGAGTTTATTTGACGTCAACTTACTTCGAAATCCCCATAGACATGTCAAATCTGAAACAAAGAAACGAAGGCTAGTTAGGCATTAGGACAAAACATGTCGTGTTATCTGAAGAAACAACAGGAATAGTACTCACATAGCTTCTTGAACTGGATGGCTCTTTTTCTGGCGAGCAGCTTCCGAGGCAATTTCGCCCTCCGAAGACGACGGAATATCACCCCGTTCACAAGGTGCATTGGAACTCCATGCAGAACCACACGAACTATTACGAGTTATTGTCAGCAGTCACAAACTTACGCTGAATGACCTCTTTCAGCAGGCTTCTTTAACGGTCCTGAAATGTTGACGCGTGACCTGAAGGGTGAAGAACAACATCTTAGTAGTTATGCACACCACGAATACGAACAGTGTTACTCTCTAATCTGTGGAGGCTGACTGAAAAATCAATCTGACAATATATCATGGGAGATGACAGCGGACTACATAATACGTATCCGAACACAAAAGACACTTACTACTTCTCGCTAACTCCTCATTCATGAAACAACTGCCAACCATCGTAGCTAAATGCACAGGACAAAAATTAATGACAATTCAGTCACTCTTTATCCTTCATGTTAGCCACATCTCATCAGTCTCCGTTCCGAACAGATTCTCAGGAACTGTCAAACTGTAGTTAACGTGCACGACCAGCACCAAAACACACCACAAGTCGAGCCCGACTACTCAGTGTGTTTAGACAACTCAATTTCGGCCAAATAAGCTTGATGCACCAAAGTTCAGATGGCTTTTCGAGTGACCACTCTGTGATGAAACCGTTCAGCCTATGGGATATCTTAGCTACACTGCTTCCAAACTGGAATTGAAACCACACCAGAAAGACATTGACGAGGTATGCGCTGAAATACTTCTACGCTTCTCAGTTTTGCACGTACAGGGTGGCGGTTACACGGATAACGTCAGTGGCGAGAAATCATGCAAATCAATCCACACTCACCCATTTCCATAAGGCCTGTCTGATCCACCTCGGTCTCCCCGACCACCAGGTGCTCCACGTCCACACGGATGTCCGTAAAACCCTCTACAAAACACAACCGATTAATTCAGTAGTGCTTAAATGACCGTCATAAATATTGTAGTATGCAATTTTATTCACACTCGCATTGAATATGACCTGTGAGTATATATCGACGAATTAGCTGATCCATCATCAGTTATCGTCCGACATAACGGCATACTGACGAGAAATACCTCCAATATCTACAACCCATGATACCACTCCGGACAAAGTTTGACGGCCAGAAAGCAAACCAGGAGGTTGCACCACTGGAGAAATCCATTTATCTCTAAGACCGCTCTCAGGAAATTACCGTAGCAACTCAGTGCACACGGGATACAACTAACCACTTCATGCCACTACACACTAGTCAAAGCTGACGCCCACTTTGTATGTTTGTAACGTGAACCAGTTCATGGTATTCTAACCTATGCTACTCGAAGACTAACAAATCGTTCTCCTAATTACTGTGACTGTCTCAACTGCACGACACACTTTTGTCCGTCGGACAACAATTGGCTGACAACCCCAAGCAAACAGCATACTGTCAAAATCCCTGAGTCGACTAACATACTCACAAGAGACATCTGAAAGCCTGAAGACTAACAGACAACCTTACCTATCCGACATGCTGCCGACGAGATCCACCACAATAGTAAGCGCACTCAACAACTACTGTCTGATGCCAGACGTGAGATAGCTTGACTAAACAAAGTTTAAGCATCCAATATCCAATACTTTTCGACAAACTTGTAGAAGCCTTACGATTTCTTGGTACTCACTCTCCTCCGTTTCTGAACTGTTCTATGCTTCCGGTGTGTTCCATAACGAGCTATCTTCTCAGGTGCCGTAGCTCTGCTGAAGCCAATAATAGCATGTTATTTTATTGTCTATTTTTTATTCCCTTGCGTTCCGAGTAGAACGTAGGGCTTCAAAAACACACCTACACTTTATTCTGTTTTCTGTCGTCCTCTTCAGCTGGGTCCACGATTGACCAAACTCTCTCATCTCTTCCTCACACGATCTCTTCCATGTCATCCTAGGACGACCCACTCGTCGCTTCCGGTTTGGATTCCACTCGAGGCATTGCCTGGCGTGCGATGTCATTCGACAGCCTCCTTGATGTACGCCCGATCTGTCTTCACTTTCTCCTACACATTTGTTGAGTGATCGGCTGTCACCTGTTGGTTTGTTCCCATAGTTTCTTATTGCCCATTCTTTCTGGCCATTTGATCTTCAGTATGGGGTCAGAGAAGGCAGCTGTTGATGACAGGCTGCAACCTTTTGGAAATCCTTTTCGTGACACACAGTGCAAGTTTCTGACCCGTACAGAAGAACCAACTTCACATTGTTCCTTCTGTTTAGTGCAGAAGATTTCCAAATTAGTTTCAAGTTGATGAAGGCGTTCTCGCCTTTCTGATTCCGACTGGCTTTGACACCTTCATCCGTTCCACCTGTAGTTGAAACGATGCTTCCTGGCCTGATAAGTGAAGGAGGCAACCTCTGTTAAATCTCTCTCATTGATGTTTACTGGTGCTGGTTGTTGTTGCTGTTGATTGGTTATCATCATCACCTCCGTCTTCTCTGTGTTCATCTGCAGTCCTGTCTTCGCTGCCTACCTCTTCCACCGGTTTGTTGGTTTTCGCTTGCAAGTCTTTGAGTCTGTGTGATATTAGACACACATCGTCTGCGAAATTCAGATCTTCCAGAGTCTTCTTATTTGTCTTCCAGAGTATTCCTGACTCCTCGCCCCCAACAGTCTGACGCACAATCCAGTTCACTACAATTAAGGATATCGTCGGTGATAATAGGCAGCCACCCTAGTCTTACTCCCGTACGCACTTCGAATGCTCCACTGAGCTTTCCGTTGTGGATCACTTGACATGTGGCACTGTCATATAGATAACTGTTGAATGAAGTTGACGAAAACTTGAGGTACACCGTAGTGTTGAAGTCGTTTTCAAATTACTTCTTGGTCTACGCTGTCGAAGGCCTTTTGGAAGTTGATGAAGTTGAGGTAGAGGTTTGACTGTCATCCTATGCTTTGTTCGATGACGATGCGTAGACTCGCAATTTGAACAGCACATGATTCGCTTTTCCTGAATCTAGCTTTTTCATTAATACAACCAGATTTTAAGAGCAAGTTTTGGCTTTAATAAAGGCCTAGGAAGTGAAGATAAAATGGAGTATAATGGTGCGTAAATAAAAAGATTATTGTGGAGTAGATAAGTGATATTTCAGTGGGAAGTGAGTTCATAGGTCTGGATGATTAGAACCCGTAGGACAAGCTGACCTGTAAGATTTCTCACGAATTTCTGAATAAGCTATCTGTTGCCTGGCCCTTGTCTTCTATCGTTACAGTATTACAGCAACTAAGTTATATTTTGTTTGGCAGAGTGAAATGAGTAGTGGAACAATTAGTGAAGAAAACAGCTGGTTAACAGAACTATTTATGCTAAATTTTCATTACCTATATTCACGTGGTATTCGTCAGACATTGCAAAATAACACATCAACTTATTTTATATTAAGAAAACTGCAAAATGTTAGAAGGGTACTTGGGGAAAGGTGGTTTTTGACTGAGTGAAGTCATTTCGAAACAAAAATATCTGTGTATATTATATATCTGTAAAATAAGTGAATATATGTATGTAATACATATATATGTAAAAAAGGTGTGGTTGCTGATATAATTGTTTCTAGAACTACTTATACTAACACAACTTATTAAAGATCATGGAGAATAGAAAATCAGTTCATTAGTTTAATGTTTGCTACATAAGTAGTAGGGTCAAGTTATATGTAATTGACTACACTAGATAGAAAAAATTGTAATAATAATTCACAGAAGACTGGACTGGTTTTCATTTGCCATTCTACCAACGGCTTTGGTCTTTTCTTGGTCAAACCCTAGTATGCGTTTCGTGAGGAATCTCTGGACACTTCCGACTTTTCTTCGGTCTGCAGACCCTAGGTAACTAAGTAGGAGAGCAAAATATTCAAGTTCGGGGCAAATACATGTCTTATATATAGCTAATCTTGCTTCCAAGGGTATGAAAGTTACAGTAAAGTACAAAATCAGTAAGTCGTTTACATTCAGATATTACGTTATTTTCATGATCGAAAAAGGTTAAATCATTTAAATATATTTGTATTATATATACTTATTCCTGTTTATGCAGAAACATATCAACTTTACAGGCATGGATATGTTATCATATAAATTACACATATTTCGATGTATGCTGAATTTACAGTTTGTCTCTTCTTTCTGACATTAGAGTCAGTCGGAACAGTCTGCATAATAGTCTGTCTGTGTAACACATAAAGAGATATAGAAATATTGTCTTCGCATTAACAAACAACCCAGACATCAGAGGAATGTAATGCAAATATCTGGGAAAAATAAAGCTTGAAGTCAATTCTCCTATATAACTTTGTTGTGAACAGCATCCTTGGCTTTATGTTCATTGATGTATAATGTTGAGATCATTGATATATTTATTCCAATTTTTTTCAGCAGTCTGATCGTAATCTTATAATAGGAAAGAAATTTGATCGTGGATACGAAAACTAGATAAGTTCATGTTGGGTTGTTTTACTGCATCCAATGGTACCGAGGTCGATTCCAGAACTATCCATTGGCGTCATTTGTGTCAGCATGACAGACTGTACATGTAAGTTGAGTAATACATTGAAAACTGTTTGAAAACCAGTTGCTCCTTTATTTCAGATCAAGAATACTCCTTGTACATAATGTTGGCCAGCGTTTTCAAATGGTAGCATCGGATCGTTCATGGATTTTGAGTTTGAATTTACTTAAATGGTCATTTCAGTTTAGATGTTGGG